AGATGAGTCTCCCACCCTTCTTGGAAAGGTGACGTTAGAAGAACTTGCCATAGCAGTACGGAGTATGCCCCCGAACTCGGCACCGGGGCCGGATGGTCTGTCGGCGGGTTTCTACACGAAATTCCTACACGTAATTGGAGAGGCCTTGCTGACAGTAGTTAACATGGTGGTGAAGGAGCGAAGGAAACCAGCTTCTTTCAGTGACGGGAGTATAGCACTACTACTGAAAGACGGCGCGACGCCAAGTGACCCTTCTTCGTGGCGTCTCATCACGTTGCTCAACGTGGATTACAAAGTGGTGTCGACCATCTTGAACAATAGGATGAAGCTTCTCCTTCCCGAAATCGTGTCTAAGTGCCAAGCATGCGCAGTCCCCGGAAGGTCGATTTTTGCAAACCTTACGTTGACGAGAGACCTCTTTGAGTACATGTCCGAGAAGAAATTGGCAGGGGCATTCTGCTCACTCGATCAGGCCAAGGCCTTCGACCGGGTGAAACAGGCCTACATGGTACAAGTACTCCGGGAATTCAGGTTCCCTACAGACTTCGTGGAGTTAATCGGCCTCCTATACGCAGACCTGTCGAGTAATGTACTTGTGAATGGCTCGGCAACCGCGAGGTTCAAGTACACAAGAGGCATTAGACAGGGTTGCCCCCTGGGCCCCACTCTGTTCATACTCTCCTTAAACCCGCTACTTACAAGCCTGAGCGAAGACAGTCTCTTCAAGGGTTTTCCCATGACAGGCACAGAAGAGATCACGGCCCTGGCTTAAGCAGATGACGTGTCCTTGTTTGTCAGAAACGCGAGCAGCTTTGACAGGTTCTCGCCGACCTTCCGCCACTACGCAGAAGCTTCCGGAGCCGCGATCAACATAGAAAAAAGCAAAGCGCTTCTCTTCGGCTCGTTCCCGAGAGAGGCCATTGGCAACATCGGTACAGTGGACGCTGTGAAAGTCCTCGGTATTTACTTCAGCTGTGCCAGGGTGTCCGAACTGTCGTGGCAGCGAGCACTGGAGCGGGCCCAGGAAGCCACAACCCGCACAAAGGAACGAGACCTTACACTAGTGGAAAAAGCCCTGGCAGTCAAGACAAGCATTTGCGCCCTAGCTGACTATGTTAGCCGCGTCGCAATAATGCCAGCAAGAATAGCACACCAGCTGAATAGATTCATAGGCGGTCTCCTTTGGGACGACAAACCAGCACCAGTTAAACAAAGTCTACTTCAGCTACCAGTAAAGGAAGGTGGATTGGGACTCCCACATGTTTTAACGACCAACAAGGTGCTCCCCTTAAAAAACCGCACGGTTTTTATACCAGGCCCAAGGCTTCCTCGGAAAGGGCTTATTACGGTACTGGAGCAGCACAAATTACCATTTCTTGGACGCCGATAGACCCACTGGTCCACTGGCGGACACCCCGTCGAGGTTTTACCGATCGGCAGGAAACTGCAGACGCATGCTAGGCACAGAGCTGAAAGAATGTGACACCGATGGAGACCCCCCGGCCAGAATAGTGGAATACATCACTAGAGCCCAGCTTACTCCGGAGGACATTAAGAAAACACGCAACTGGCGCAGGAGGCGGGCGAAACAGGGCCGCGTGGTCCCGAACGAATGCCAGGACTTTATATGGCGGATGAATTGGGAGGTCCTCCCGACACGGTCACGCCTACATGGTTTTGGCATAGTCCCATCGCCCTCATGCCCGAATTGCCACCTAAAGGAAACGGCACAGCACGCTCTTTTCGAATGCGTAGCAGTCAGACCGGTCTGGCGCCTGTTGGCCAGACACTTTAAAATCAGACCCCCCCCCCCCCCCCGCACTGGACCGTAACAAAGGCGCCTTCACGAGATTGGTGATAGTGTGCACAATGTTCGTTGTATGGAATCGCCGCTGCCTCGCGCAGTACAAAGGAAAATCGGTGAGGACAGCCTACCCGGCAGTTTCCCGCGTGAAACTGCTCGTGTGGCAACACCTGAGCGAGGAACTGGAAACAAATGGAGAAGAAGCCTTCCTCTGCCGCTGGCACACGAGGTTCTTTTACATAAAAGATGGGAGGCTCAAGTTTCCCATTATTCCCTACTGATCCCCCCCCACCACTCCCCCACCATTGTCGACCTAACACAACTATTTAACAAGTAATGGGATAACTTTTACTATACCTTCCCCCCCCCCCCCCCTAAAACAAAAAAAAACGGTGTTGTTGTTTTAAACACGTGGTGAACAGCCCACCCCTGTATGTTTTTTTGTTGCTTCACTGCGTTTTCAAAACCAATAGTGTCAGATGTTTGCGTGCAAATTCTTAGTGCAAGTAATCAACCCTTAGTATTGTATAAGTTACCCCCCCCCACGTTGCTTTCGAACGCCGCACAAGTGAATGATGTATAGTGGTTTGTAAACAAAACAAATGGTGATTATAGCTTTTTTAATCACTATTAGTTCGAACTCTGGCCGATAGGTCACAGTCTATGTTCTCTCAGTTGACGAGTGTACGATGACATGGCTGTAAAGACAAATAAACTTCTCTATGGTGTAGTGTTGGCTTGTCCATCCTACTCCTGCTCTTTGAAGAAGCACTCAACCACCCGCCCGGTTAGTGCGGAGTCTTTCTCTGTCCCTTCTTGTGTTGTTGTGTGCATGCCATCTTAGCTTGTTCGAGCGACCAGCAACGACTGCTTGCGGATTCTTGGACCCTCCTGCTGACGCCTGGTTCCTGCTGCCCTGGATTCTGGCTCTGGTCATTGGCGAGATGCTAGTTCTGTAAAACAATTCTTTTTTGCGCCTCTTTTCCACCCCCCCTTGGGGGGTGGGTTCTCGTGCTCGGCGAGGCGGCTGCTCCAACCGGCTTTGCCGGCAGCTCCCCGTCCGCAAAGCACCCTTTTCTTGTGTATTAGTTGGCTCAGCGACTCTTGCATCACCTGCCCAATGATGCAAGATAGCGCAGGCCTTTACGTGCACTCTCTTCAGAGCGCACCTCTACCCTGTGCACCAGCGTGCCGCGCTGGTGAACACGTGGAAGCGGCGCCTCCACTCTCTCCCTTTTTTTTTACCTTTTTCATTTTCTTTTTCCTGGCCCCGTGCTTTTCACTAAGGCTTCTCTAGTTGCCAGCTACATTCAGAATGTAGTCAGGCGACCCTCTCCCTCCCCTTGCACGTCTCCTCTCTCTCGGTGGGCACTCCTGATGACAACACTTGTCAGTAGACGGCCTGCTCAACTGGTTCCCCCTTCACGTCTTCACGTCAGCCTCACGGAGGAAGGAAAAAGAGGCCGCTTCACGGTAATCACACTTCTGACTGACATCTGAGACTTTTCGGCGGAGAACACATGGGAGCAGCAGCGGCAGCGCGGACGTGACGGCCCGGAGGACGAAAACCTAAGCTTTTGTTTTTTTGTTCCTTTTTTTGCTTGCGAGAGATAATGTTGTAGAAGTAGGGATCGGCTTAAGTAATAGAGGTAAACAGATAAAAGAGCAGCTTGCGGGAGTAAGCGGGAACCTAAATGTAACGAGGCGTAAAGCCACGTGGTAGGCTAGGTTTTTTTTTTTAGCTGTTTTGGAATGTTTTGAGGGTTGGGAGCAACTAGTGTGACCGAACGGAGGCGGCGCGGCGGACGCGTTATTGTTCAAAGGAGAAGTTGGGGCATTGGTAGCGGGCTTTGTGTGACGGGCGACTTAGGCCTAGGGGTTGGCCGAACAATGGCCCCGAGAAAGAGATCGGGCACTGGAGACGAGGGCCAGGTGCAGTGCCAAGAGTGCCTGCGCTGGTGCTTCTTGGGCGAGACAATGTTCGAGAGTGTGGCGGACGCTAAGAAGGGGCCCTTCGAATGTAGGCCTTGCGAGCGGACAAGGCAGGGCTTCGACCGCCGTGAGAAGCAGATGAATGCGAGGGTGAAGGAACTGGAGGGGTACCTGAGGGAGGAAAGAGAAGCGCGGGAGGCTCTCGAGGCGCAAGTGGTCGAGCTTGACAAGGCGGGTCAGGCGCAGACCGCCCAGTTGGTGCGCACGGTGGCCGAACTGGACGAAGCTCGGGAAAGGCAGGCCCAGCTTGAAAAGCGGGTGGAAGAGCTCGTGACTCCGGCGGCAGGAGACGACGCGAGTGCGCGGGCTCAGAACAACGAGCCGCACGCCGGCAGGAACGCAGACCCACAGGGGGTGACTGATGCTGCGCGCACGAGCGGTGTCCGTCAACGCAGAGCGGACTCGGGTAACAAAGAAAGCCCTGAGGCGGCGCCGGGAAGTGGGGGATCGCCAGCCAGGTCCTTGGCTGCCGTGGTCAACCACAGTAGTTCCCGAACACCTGCAAAAGTGCCGGCTAAAGACCAGAGGAGGCGCCAAGTGATTGTTGTCGGCGACTCCAACATGGCCAGGGTGGGAGAGGTGATTAAGGGGAGGGTGGGAGACGACGAACGCGTGAAGGTGAGCAAGCTTCCCGGAAAAAGAGTAGGGGAAGTGATGCAACAAGCAAAGGAGCAACTGTGGGATAGAATGGAGGACCGCAGTTTAGTAGTGGTAATGGGGGGTGTGAACGATGTGTTGCAGGGACGCGGGGGAGGGTTCGCAAAGCAGATTGCGAAGGGGATCACCGAGCTGAGGGCGACCTCGGAGGATGTGCAGATTGCTGTCTGCACGGTGCCGGAGATGCAGAAACAGGGAGTCCACGTAGAAAGGGCGGTGGTTACGGCAAACAGGGAGCTTTGGACTCTGGGTATAACGATGAAGTTCGAGGTGGTCAACCTGAACCGAAACCTGGTCCATGCAGGCCACAACAGGGCGTTTGTTTCTGACGGCATACACTTCAGTAACCGTCTAGCTGAGCATGTAGGGCACCGATTGGCAGCCCGCACGGTGGCTTTTTTGGGGGGAGGCGAAACGTTCAAGAAGAAGGCGGACTGAGTGGAGAGGTGGTGAAAAGCAGGAAGGAGGGGGCACTGATGCACGGCGGCGGAAACACAAAGGAAAGAAAAGGAAAATAAACCGGGGGATTAAAATTAGTTATATAAACATGCAAGGCGGCCGCAAGCAGGAAAAATGGATTGAGATACAAACCCAACTCGAGAAAGAAGAAATTGACGTGTACGCCCTGACCGAAACCCACCTGAGAGATATGGAGGAGCCACCAGTGATGGATGATTACGTATGGGTGGGTTGCAACAGGGCAGCGGGAGAAAGGAAAGGTGGAGGCGTGGGTATGTTGATTAGGCGAGGAGGGAATTGGCAGAGGGAAAATCAGGGCTGTAAGGAGCACTTATGGGTTAGTGGAACGGTGGGGGGGGAAAAAGACACGGTTGGGAGTGGCCTATCTGTGGACAGGGAATGACGCCAGAGAACAAAATAAAGAGTGGGTGGACTGCCTCAGGAAGGACATAAAAAAATTTAAAGAATCTGGCGAGGTGATATTAGTAGGAGATTTAAATGCCCACATTGAGGATCTAGATGGATATACAGACTATAACGGTGCAATGGTTATCGATATGTGTGAAGAACAGCAACTGGTAATAGTTAACCGGGAACATAAATGCGACGGGCAGATAACGTGGCAAAGCGGCAGTAGACAGTCTTGCATAGACTACGGCCTGGTCTCAGAGCACACGTACGAGCGGTTGAACAGAATGACGATAGATGAAAAAGGAGAAAACAGTCTGGGCAGCGACCACAGGCGTATAATTCTGAAATTTGACAGTGGGGGGGGGCTAGGAAGAAAACGCAGGATGTTGGGCTCCCGAAAGTAAACGAAAAGCAGATAGCAGACATCGTCAATAGCATCGAAAGAGAATTAGAAGCACAGCCAACAAAGGTGTGGGACTATGACGAGGTTGTTAGCTGTATACAAAAGGAAATAAACAAAGTAAAGAAAAAAAACCGCTGGAGGGGTAAACGGAAACCACGAAGATGGTGGGACAAGGAAATTAAACTGGCTATTGAAGAGCGACGACGGGCCTCTAGACTGCACAGAAAAGCAAAGCAAATGGGACATCAGGATGATGAGGTGCAGTTACGGTGGAGCCGGTACCAAGAAAAGAAATTTGAGGTGCAGAAACTAGTACAAGCGAAGATTAAAGCTGCGAGCGAGAAATGTGTATCAGACATACGTAAGAAGGATAAGAGCGCCCCCCAAAAATTCTGGAACCATTTGAAAGCATTGGGAACGACGACTAAAGAGATGCAGACTCAGATACAGGACGGGGACGGTAACGTTCTCCTGGGGGACAGCGCATTAGAATACCTACATGGAGTCATAGGAAATACTTTCGGCCAAGCACGCGAGAGGGCGGCTAACTGGACACAGGTGGCAAATAAAAGAGTGGCAGATGAAAAATTTAATATCGAATTTTTGGACTGGAAAAAGGCAGAACACAGTGTTCCCAAAAGTACGGCAACAGGACCGGATGGAATCCCGATAGAGATTATCAACCATTTGGGACCAGCGGGACAGGCGCACTTGTATGGAGCCATCGAGCGCGCTATAAAATCCAAGAGGATTCCTGCGCACTGGCGCGAAAGTAGAATGAGTTTGATCTACAAAGGCAAGGGAGAAAGGGACAAAGCGAGCTATTACAGGCCGATTACAGTCACGTCAGTGCTCTATAGATTAGCTATACAAGCCATCAAAGCCGAATTGTTGAAGGGGGTTGAAGGTAACGGTATTTTAGGGGAACTGCAAAATGGATTTAGGCCGGGTCGACGCTTGGAAGACAATCTTTTCGTCATAACCCAGACCATTGAAATTTCGGCAGCACAGGGCAGACCAACATGGCTACTGTTTCTGGACATAAAAGGTGCCTATGACAACGTGGACAGGGGATTGCTGTGGCATATACTGGAAGAGGAGGGGATTGGGTCGGAATTTGTAGGGCTGCTAAGGGCAATATATGAGGATAACAAGGCACACATTACATGGGAAGGGCGTACATACACAGAGCCCGTGTACATTCGAAGAGGTTTAAAACAGGGGTGCCCTCTTTCGCCATTGCTGTTCACACTGTACATTAGAGGAATGGAAAGACAACTAGAGGAGAGTGGATTGGGCTTTGATTTGTCACACTGAAGCAATGGAGTGTTAGTGGAGCAACGGATTCCGGGATTGATGTACGCAGACGATATAGTGCTGCTGGCGGATAATGCGGAAGAACTTCAAAAACTGGCTGACATTTGTGGTGATGAGGCAACGTACCTAGGCCTACATTTTAACCCACAGAAATCTGGAGTCATGGTGTTCAACGGGGAAGCTCATGTAGCACCAATAAGGATACAACAGGAAGACATACCATTAGTAAATAAGTACAAATACTTGGGGATCTGGCTTAATGAAGGAAAAGGCTACCTGAATGCTCATGAAGAACACCTCAAACTGAAAGGGAGACGAAATGCAGCAGTAATGAAACAGAGCACTTTGGGGACACAATAAGTACGAGGTAGTACGAGGCATCTGGAAAGGGGTAATGGTGCCGGCGCTCACGTTCTCTAATGCCGTATTATGCTTAAAGTCAGATATCCTGTCGGGGCTGGAGGTTAACCAAAGGGCAGTCGGCAGGTTAGCTCTGGGAGCTCACAGTAAGACTACAAACGAGGCTGTACAAGGCGATATGGGTTGGGCTTCATTTGAGGCGAGGGAAGCACAAAGTAAAATACGGTTTGAGGAGCGACTTAGACATTTAGATGAGAAGAACTGGGCAGCCAGAGTGCACAGATACCTGTACCTGAAAAGTGTGGACACCCAATGGCGGAAGAGGGCGCGAAAGCTGGCGACTAAATATAACTTGACCGCGGCAAATAAGCAAAGGGGGCCAGTTAAAAAGCAAGTGAGGGAAACAGAGACGCTCATGTGGAAAGAGAGGATGGAAAAAAAGGGATCGCTGGGAATCTACAAGGCAAGCAAACAAGAGATCCGGAAAGAGAACTTTTATGACAACAATAAAGGTAGTGCGTTGCTCTTTGAGGCGCGGGCTGGCTGCTTGAGAACTCTAACTTACAGGAGCAAATATTCGTCACAGGACGAGACATGTGTTGGATGTGGCATAAATAAAGAAACAATCGACCACATAGTCATGGAATGCCAAAAGATTCAGCCGGATATAAATGGGGGGAAGGTCACACTTCCCGAGGCGCTGGGCTTCGCGGTTGATGGAAGCATTAACTGGTCAGCAGTAGGTATTACTAAGCAGGGGCTGGAGTATTGGTGGAGGAAAAGCAGAGAAGTCGATAAAATAACATCCCAGCCAAGAGTAGCGGCTGGGCAAAATTAAAAAGACATCCGAGTTGAGGGACAAAATTTAAACTCGAACTATTAGGGTAGGCTAGGTGGCGCATGCCGTCACCCCGATTCAAAGGGGAGGCCTTTAATAATCATCATCATCATCATCACCCTGTATCTCCTGTCTCTTTTCCTCCCCCTTTTTTTTCCCCAATTGCTTCTCCTTTCATTTCTCTACCTGTCTGTCTTGCCCTACCCTTTGCCAAGGTAGTCCATCACTGCATCTGCCCTTTCGTGGCCGCCGGCTGCCCTAACCATATAGCCTGGTTGCCCCCCTTCTTCGCTCACTGGTGTAAGCACCTTTTTTTTTTTCCTGTATCTTTTTTTTTCCTTCCTTTAGCAAGCGTGCCTCTCCTTTTTCTCCTCTTTTCTTCTCGTTTCCGCTAAACTTCCCTGTTCAAGGGTTGGTTGCACACCCTTCTTTCTTTCAAGTCGCCTGCCCCGCTTAAGCATGGGTTGACGACCTCCCCCCCCTTTTCTTTTTTTTTTCTCTCCTTCACTTTCACTTCTTTTTTTTCCTCAAAAGTGTACAGTGCCGTCTTTTAATTGAAGTGTTTTATTGCTTACATGATGTTCAAGTGCCAGTACGATGATGTACCTTTTGCTGCGCATACCCCGTCTCCTCAGACAGGGCTCACTGTCCAATAGATGATGAGCGAGGAGGCAGGTCTCACGAATAAGGGGGAGGATTGGAACATCCCGAGGCCAAAGGATGCCCAAAATCAAACAACGCTCGCTGATGAGGGAAAGACTCAACATCTTTCCTATTCCCCACAGCTTCACCTGCCCTATAGATTTCTGTGGGGTACAGTACTCCGGGGTCTCCTGGACGAGCAGGCGCCAGAGCCTAGTAAGGCACCTTCTAGACGAGCATGAGATCAGGGTGAAGGTGACCTACACCTGCACCTTCTGCTTTACCACCGGCCTCGGTCTCCACCCTACGCGCCACTCCTGCTTCGCGAGAGAGGGACACGAGCTCTCACCCATCGACCTCTATAGGCACAAATGCCCAGTGTCCATCACGCTCAGCTCAAAAAAAGGTCTGGACAACCACATGAGGAAGCATAAGAGGGCACAAGCGCAGGAGACAACCAACACCACCTAAATGAGTTCAGGCCTCTTCACTCCGGCGCGCCTTCGTGTGACGTCATTCAACTTTGCCCGAGCCTCTCACGCCAACACCACCTAGCTCACGCCGTACCAGCAGCGTTTCGGCGTGTCCGCGCATGTTGACAGGCAAGGAGGAGGGCGACCTCTCGAGAGAGAGCGAGCACCGTGGTAGCCCGTAGCTTTGCGGCAGAGCCGTAAGTTGTCCGAGTCTCCGACAGGTGACGGCAGCCGTGACAATTATTTCAATCTGTCGTTGAACGAGACCACGCGGCCACGCCGTGCGCGCTGTTCCGTGTTGCAGTCACCGCTTCCGCCGAATTTATTTTGTTGACGAATGTATCCCGAGACATGGGGCGGTGTTGTGTACCCAACTGTCGAGGGAACTATGACAATGGTCCGAAAGTCCGCTTGTTTTCTTTTCCGAGAGACGCTAAGCGAAGAGCGGAATGGCAGCGGGCTGTGCGACGGAGCGACGTCGACGTGAGGCTGTTGAAGGACCCCAAAGTAAGCTGCATCGAGCGTACCCCTTCAGAATTAACAAGATTTCTCGTAATTATCCCAGGAGATTCTAATTGGTGTTTTTTTTTTTTTGTTCCGGTCACGCGCAGGTTTGCGAGCGTCACTTCAAGTCTGAACACCTGCGCACAACGTCAACGTATACGGACTGCGATGGACGAACCATTGAAGCTCCTATGAAGTTGACACGGCCGACTCCAGACGCCTTCCCAGCCATTTTTCCAGACTGCCGTTCGTATCGGATTCGCGCACGTCGCGAGAAGAGCCTGAACTGAAAAGGAAGCGGACTGAAAATGAGCTACTCCAGAAAGCCATACACGAGTCCCAAGCAGCGTTTGAAAAAGAAGAAAAACAGTACAAAGTTTGTAATCTGGGTGAACTGATTTCTCGGGTTAACGAGCGTCCAAATGAGAAGTTTTGGTGTACAACAGCCTGCGAGACGTGCCTCATCGTCGCCCACATCGAACCGGCGTTGCAAGCTACGGAGATGCTTGTATCTGTGGTGGTTACAGAGGATCTGTCCGTTTCCGTGTATTTTAAGTGCGCTCCGTTGGTGTCGGATGATGTGTGCATTCCTGACGAAGTCCGTGATGTCCGTGTGCTGGACAACCTTCTAGACAGCGTGGAGCGATATTGTGAAAAGAAGGCCCGTCAACAGGAGGACAAGGTGGGAGGAGTGCTTAGGCTTGTTTTATCCTTGCTGGATGACATTTGTGATGATGAGCTGCATGATGATGAGAGGGCTGACGCACTAATCTTCCTGAAGGAGCAGTGCAAGCTGCTGACAAAGAAGAGTAATGGCGTGCGGTATTCTGCAGAGCTTTTAGTCTTTAGCAGTATATTGCACACAATTTCTCCACATGCTTACAAGTTTTTTCGCCACAGCAACAAGCTTGTCTTGCCGCATGACACTACCATCAAGCGAGTTTGTGCTGCACATGATGTGAGCCCATCGAAAGAGCAGTGCGAAGAAGGTTTTCCGAGGTACATTAAGCGCAGAGCAACCTTTCTGAAGCCTCATGAAAAAAATGTGACTGTCATGCTTGATGAAATACACCTGCAACAGTTTTTTGAATATAAAGGTGGCTGCCTAACAGGGTTTGCTGTGCATTGTGCGGAACCAGCAAAGACAGCGCACGTGTTCATGGTACAGTCTTTGCTTTCATCTTATAAAGATGTTGCTCATATCATTCCGGTAACTCGTATCACAGCAACGGAGCTGCATGATGTTCTAAAGACACTAATCATGAGGCTTGAAAGTGCTGGTCTGCATGTTGTTGCGGTCGTAACAGACAACAATGCCATAAACAAGAAAATGATGTCTCTGTTTAGCGAGCAAAATGAGCCAGGGATTGTTTTTCCTCATCCTGCCAACCCGCAGCAGCCATTGTTTCATGTTGTGGACACTGTTCACTTGCTCAAGTGTATACGCAACAATTGGCTCAATCAGAAGGATGATGACAAGTCGTTTTTGTATCCTCCTTTTGAAAGCTGTGGAAGTGGTGAGGACCAAAAAGCTTCGTTTACTTTTTTGAGGAAGCTGTACCAGAGTGAACAAAGCAAGCTTGCAAAGGTTGCCTATGGTCTGAGCTATAAAGCACTTTATCCAAGCCACCTAGAGCGTCAAAATGTGAAATTGGTGTTGAAAGTTTTTAACAGCTTTGTGTCATCAGCTTTGTCACTTGAAGCGCAGAAATTGCATTTGGCTGCACTGCAGGAAACGGCCACCTTTATTGAGTTGATTGTCAGGTGGTGGAGCATTGTAAATGTTAAGACTCCAGAAAAGGGACACAGACTACGTGATGTTTATCAGCAGCCTGTGAAGGATATGTCTTGTTTGCAAGTTCAGTACCTTGATCAGTTCATTACCTGGCTTGAGAGGTGGAGCCGGAGGGGAACCACGGCTGGAGGTTTGACAAAGGAGACCCACTTTGCTCTCCGGCGAAGCACGTATTCATTGATTGAGCTGTCACGGTATTGCCTTGATGAGCTGGGCTTTAGGTACGTCCTTTTGGGGAAGTTTCAAACAGATTGCCTTGAGGCCAGGTTCGGGAAGTACCGCCAAATGTGTGGATCTCACTACAATGTGTCAATCACAGAAGTATTCGAAGGGGAGACAAAGATTCGCTTGCAGGACACTTCAAAGCTGGAAGACATGCCGCTGTCATTGGCACCTAAGGAACAGGAGCTTGATGCCGAGATGCTAATAGCAAAGTATGCCATCAAACTCGCCCAAAGTGACCTGAAGGCATCACAAACTGACGTGCCTGCGTTGGCATACATTGCAGGCTATTGTGCGCATGCTGCAATTAAACGTCAGCCATGTGAGGATTGTCAGTCGCAGCTCATGATCACTGACCGAGAACTGCAGCAAAGTGAGCACGTACTCATTGACAACATGATCAGAGGCGGCTTGAAGTTTCCGCAGCCTTTTGTTGTTAATGTTGTTCTTGGCACTAAGTATTAGAGCACCTTGTCAGTAAGGAACAGGAGCAGCGGTTTCATGCAGAAGCCAACCAAAGGATGGTCCTCTTGAGCATCATGCAGTTCCTACTAAGCGACGGCGAGGAGTTGGACATGTGTGCAAGTGGCCACCATCCAGATACCGTACTCAAGAACATTCTAAAACCAGCAGTCAACACGCTTCTAAAAAACTATGTCGCTTGCAGGAATGACAGTGTCATGAAAGAAAAAGCCTGTACAAAGCAAAGAAAGTTGCTAACGCTACAGTAAACTTTGCTAGTGGCCCCTTCGCTAAAATATGAAGCAAGCTTTACTAATGGCTAGTTTTTTTTAAGCTGGCCGGTTCGTATTTTCTTTTTGTCCCACAATGTGAATATGGCTTTGAATATGACTGTTCCAAATGCTAAATGTTTGTTCCTTGTGATACACTTTATACATTGTAATAAATACTCCAGTAGCTAGTTTCTTTCGTTCTAAGAGCAGTTGTGTTTTTCTGTTTGCCCCATAATGTGATTATGGATGTGAATATGACTGTACCAGATGCTAAAAGTTTTTCACTGTGATAAATTTTGAAACATTATAACGAATAATCTAGCGCCTTGTTTTTTTTTTTTTGCTTAATCTTGTCAGTTTCGGTTTTTGTGTTGCACAATGTAGTCATAGATGTCAATATGACTGCTAAAAGCTGGAAGTTCGTATGTTCCTTGTGATACATGGTACTTACATTGTAATAAATATTTTGCCAGGTGCCCGGGACTTGTGTACGTTTCTTTTAAGTGCAATCTGAAGCAGTTACGTCCGCTAAGATGGAGCGGAACAGCACTATTTCATCTTCATGTGAAATAACGTTCGTTCAGAAATTTTATATTCTATGCCTATATCGCGGCAATGCAGAAATTAATGTTTTACTCATCTGTAGTGGCCGCCGCGCGGGAAGCGTCCGCGCCGCAGCGGCTCGCGCGCGCGCGTCGACGGGACAGGTGCGTGACGTCACGGCGGCAGTGAAGAGGCCTGCCTGAACTTATCTAGGTGGTGTTGAGACAACCCAGCAACCAACGACTGCAAGGACTTCGAGGGCGGCACCTGCTGCAACGCCGACTGGCCGACCCCCCCCGCCCCGCTGCCGGGGCAACAGAGCCCCACGGACAATGACCCTTCGATCGTCGCAGAGCTCGAACTCGACGACTTCAACGAGACCGTCACACAGCGAGGACAGCACGACATTGAGCACAACGCCGGACTCTCCAACACCACCGGAACTGCCACTAACACCTTTCTCCCCCCTTCTAGGCGACCTACCGGAACTCCCCGACAAGGATTTGGCAGCCACGGACAATCCACCGCCCACGCCTAGCGAGGTCTCCACCACGAAGAGCCGGTCCTCATGTGCTTCACTATTCTCGCAGGATGACAACCCGACCTCCATCCCGCCAAGTCCCAGACAACATGAGTCGCCGCACAGTGACACGGACCACGACAGCCCACGGCATTCCTGACCACCATCACCGGAACGGGCCCTTACCCCCCTCCCTCCTCTTTTAGGCAGCATAACTGGCTCTCCCAGCCAGTACTCCAGGAATGCTACAACTCCATCAGCAACCAGCGAGGAGGAGTCATCACCAGAAGGGTCACGGTGTTATTGTCGTCTCCAGCAGGACCCAGATGCAGCCCGCGCTACTCCGAGGACCCGCGAGCAAGGAGCACTGCAACACAGCATGGCAACGGCACAGGAGGACCCTCAATCAAGTCCGTCAGCCAGGAGCATCACCAACAGCGTCGACTCCCCCACACATCCAACGTCATCCGAGGGAATTTCGCTAGACGACGCAGGCGGCGAGTGACAGGACCCCGCCCCACAGACAGAGAAACCCGGCGAGATCACCTTCTCCGGGCCAATCGATGACACGAGCGTACTAACAGAGCACACCCAGCAAATCCGGCAACTGCTTCGGGAGCCCGCCACTGCTGAGCGCTGGGACGACTTCCTCTCCACCCTGAAGGAGGCCGTCTCGGCGGTGAGGAGGGAGGCGAGAAAATTCCGGACAACCCTGCCGGTGAGAAACCCCGGGTCTCGACCAACCCAAACAACCCTCAGCAGAGACAGGGCCTGTATCGTCGCAACCGCCGTCGGGCTGTTCGTGTCATTGTGCAGGGCGAGACGAAGCTCTGCAAGATTCCGCTTGACAGACTGGAGCAACACTTTGCTGAAACATGGGCGCCGAAGGAAGGGAACACCCACCTGCTCCTTAACAAGGCTCGTCCGGACGACATGGCAGAGATCTGCCTTGCCCGATTCACCAGCGACGATGTGGCAGCCCGTCTTCGCAGATGCGAAAACACAGCCCCCGGCAGTGACAGGATCACCTACCGTCATTGGAAGGAACATGATCATGATGGTCTCTTTCTCTCTGCAGCGTTCAACGTGTGTCTCCAGTTCAAGCGAGTGTCCGATGCCTGGAAGGAAACGAGGACCATCCTCATCCACAAGAAGGGTGATCCGAGTGAGGTCACAAACTGGAGACCCATAGCCCTTGTAAACACTACCTCCAAGCTGTATGCGGGCTGCCTAGCTTCCCGCATGCAGCAGTGGGTGTGTGACCACGACGTGCTCTCGAGGTGTCAAAAGGGGTTCCTGCCGCACGACGGCATGTTCGAACACAACTTCATGCTGCAGGAGCGCCTGGACGCCGCGCGGGCCGGCGGTGGTGACCTTTGCGTGGCCTTTCTAGACTTCGCCAACGCATTCGGCTCAGTTCCGCACAACGCACTAATCGATTCCCTTCGTGGTGCAGGTGCGGGAGAGGACTTCTGCGCAATCATCGCAGACCTCTATCGAGACAATGCTACCCGGATTGTCGCCGAAGCTAGGACAACCGCCCCAGTCACAATCTCAGCCGGAATCAGACAGGGCTGCCCACTGAGCGGCCTGCTCTTCAACTTGGTGCTTGATCCAGTCATTCGGGCGGTCCAAGGAGGTGAGAGGCAGCACAATGTGCTGGCATACGCCGACGATTTGACTCCCTTGGCGGACAACCCCAAGAAACTGCAGGACCGCGTCAATGTCGCGGCGGCTCTCGCTGGCCAGCTGGGACTTCGGCTGAACCCCAAGAAGTGCAGAAGCCTGCACCTCTCTGGTAGGACTCCCGTAGGCACTAGGGACACGAAATTCTTCGTCGACGGAGAAGAGATCCCTCGCATCACTGACTACGAGAGTCAATCTTTTCTGGGACGCCCCGTCGGGTTCAGCCTTCTCTAAAACCACTCTAAGGTCGATGAGGCGATCTCCGTCGGCCACACCCTGCTCGAGTCCATGCTTGCCCGATGGCAGCGAATTGATGCACTAAAAGCCTTTGTTTTTCCAGCACTCAACTTCGCCATGCGGTGCGGACAAGTGGGCAAGGCGGAATGGGCACGCCTAGGCGACGCACTCCGGCCCCTGATAAAGAAAACCCTTTATCTTCCAGGTAACGCTGCAAACAACTATCTCTACGGCAGCGCAGCGGCCGGAGCAGCTGGAATTCCCCTCGCCGCAGACACAAGTGACGCCTGCCGCGTGGACAACACCTTCAAGCTTCTGACCTCGGCCGATCTCGAGGTCCGGGAACTTGCCTTAGAAGCGCTAACTAAAATTGTTTCCAAGCGCATTCGCAGGCAGGCCACTAACGAGGAGCTCGTCTGCTACCTCAGCAGCGAAACGGAGGGCGTTTTTCAGGCACGGCCAACACAACTGCAGTCTGCCTGGACTGAGGCTTGGAAGGCTTCCCGCAAGCTACACGTCAGCTGGGAAATTTTCGAGGATGGGGGGACCGGTATCACGTGTGGCGGAGAGGAAACTCTCACGTCAAAGCAAAAAAGCGCTTCCGAATGAT